TTGGCTCCGGGTTCTGTTCTGATCCACAATGTTTTGAATTGCATTATGAAAAACTTGACGCTCCAACTGTAACAAGAGTGGAAGTTCACCCAAGACTTTTTAATGTAACTCTGGTAGAATTTTCATGTTTAGATGGGTTTATGGGCAGCTGAAGGTTTTTGTTGGATTGGTTGAGAAATTGTAGCTGTACTACACCACTTAGTATGTGATAATTAATTCAGGCATGTTCAAACCAGCTGTGACTATGTGATAAGGGGAACTGGGTTTAACAAGAAATTTTGCCAAGTTACTCCTCGGTTTCCTACCATAATATATGACAGATGACTGATGGGACACAGATGTAGACACGCTCACACACACACATGACACAGTCCTGTACATATGTCTTTGTGGGGACTGTCCATTCATTTTTATAGGCAAAACCCTAGCACCAATAATAACAACCTTAACTGCTACCCAGCACTAACAAAAAGCAAATCTTTTAGCATTTTTACTTTTTTGATTGTAGTCACAGATTTTTATAAAATTGAATTTGCCCTTGTGGGGCCCCAAAAAAATGTGAAAGTAACAGGTTTTTATCACATTGTGAACACACACACAGACACACATACACAGACACACACATTATATGTTATGTAGGCTGTTTACAGTGCACTGGGGCTCTCTTACACTTTTAAGATCAGCTAATCCTATGATGCATATCCGCATGCTTGGGCTGGAGAATGTTGTGCTATTCCTAGCACACACACTATGTGGGGTACCGTACCGCACAGCACAGCACACCGGCACACCGGCACAGACGAGGCTCTTAATCTCCAGGGCAAGACGTGTCACTCTGAGAAGTCTGCAGTCTCTCTGTCGGCTCCCTGAGGCAAACGCCGGTGCCTGTGGGGGGGGGGGATGTGTAGCAGGGTGTGCCTGGCATTGGTAAGTCACTGTATGAACAGGAGGTTTCAGAGAGGGGAGGGGAGGAGGCGCCGTTATGCTCTGGGTGGCATGTCTACGTCAGTGGGACACAGACAGCCAGCCAGAACTCCAAGCCCATGCGGAGGGGGGGGGGGCAGGGGATAGACTCCGGCCGGCTGAATAGGGGCATCACTGGGACAGGTAGCGTCAGAAATGACTGAGACTGTTGGTCATTAAGTAAGTGCTACTTCTTTTAAAACACTGAGTTCCGGGGATCGTCCAGTTCGACACCATGTACTTGGTTTGTGCAGACTGACGTTCGATATGGAAAAAGTAGCCTGCCGCTTGAATGACAGCACGGCTCGCTTACACTGTGATATGATCTCCATAATCTGCTGGCACAGGGGCTGTAAACATGGCTGACACTGTATAGCAGTCTGCAATAATAACAGCCTATAATAATGAGTGAGTCACGTCATGTGACCCTCACCAAAACTGATAGGTCATTGACTCATCCAGACTGACGGGCCATTTCTAATCAATTCAAAACAGATTGAAAACAAACTGTAAACTGTTAGAAATTTAAAGAGCATCATTGCACGGATGGAGAAGAAGGATTTACAAAATGATAGAGAAAATCTATAAGTAAAACTTACGGATCAGGATCAAGCAGGTGGGTGATAAGCAGAAGGGACCTGAGAAATCTACTTATGGAAAGAAAAACTGTGGGTTAAAACTAAAAATAATTTAGATTAATGCCATCAGTTTCTCAAAGCTCCTTTGACTCGTGTCACTCGACCTAGTGCGGGAATCGCAGCGAGGTGTGGTAACTCATGGAGCAGCAGCGATGAATCCAGGAGGAGTGTTCTTCAATAGTGAATAATTATGGCAATTAAGGATAATTAAGGATGATTAAAGTGTGGACATTTCCCTTGTAAGCAGTCGCATGTAAGCACCGTAACGCTTTGTACAGAAACAGTCAAAAGTTTGCACACACCTGTTGAAAATGTTTTTTTTTTAACAAGATAAAATCTCTAAACACGCTTCAAGATTATGAAAGAAGGAAGGAGATGGAGTGCTGTGGCACATGACCTGGCCCCCACAACCCCCCCACCTAAACCCTATAGAGCTGCTTTGGGATGAGTTGGATCGAAGAGTAAGAGCAAGGTAGCCAAGTTGTGCCCAGAACTTGTAGAATCTCCTTCAGGATTGTTGGAGAAGCATTCCAGGTGGCTACATCTGAAAGCTGGTTGAAAGAATGCAAAGAGTCTGCAATGCTGTCATTGAAGCACAAAGGGTCTTTGAGGAGTCGAAAATTTGATTAAATTTGTTGAACACTCCTCTTGTTCGTTGCAGTATTTGATATGTATTATTTCATTACCTTTAGGCATTATACTGTAAGGTGAATAACATAGCTACAATTGAGACAAATGTGTTAATAGCGGGCGTGTCCAGACCTTTGACGGGTGCTGTAAATCTTTGTAAGATCTGTCAAGAATAAGTTTAAATTATTCCTTTATTAACGTCACCGGTCTTGTAATGTTCATACATACAGTAATTGTGGTGATGGACTGGCATCCCATCCAGGTATTTCCCTTGCTATGTGTGCAGTGTGCAGTGCTTCCCAGGGGAAAGCTTCAGGCTCTCCACCACTGGGAGTAGATTAGCTGTTGGAAGATGGATGGATGGATTGATGGATGGATGGATGATAACGGTATTAAAACAGGTTGCGATGTACAGAATGGCAAAATGCATGCATCCCTTTTGCTGTTTTCCACTTGGGGAGGCTGTTAAATTTCGTAGCAGCATTGAAACAAACGCTTTGCAGCACTACAGATTGCTAAATGAGGAGCGCTGATGTAATCCCCCACAGCGATTATCTGTTGTGTCACTGTGCTTCTGAGGAGGACGAGGCTGAAGCAAGCCTGGAGCAACGGCAACAGGGGGGGGGGGGGACATTAAGAAAAGAACAGAAAGGGGACGAGTGGGAGGGAGGGAAAGAGGCGAGGGATGAGGAGGAAGAAGAGAGCCGAGTGAACTGACTTTTCTTTTTTCTGCAAACCATCTCCACTGGGGCAATGTGTGTTCCTACTTAACTCAAAAAAAAAAAGAAAAACGTTTAGCACAAGTATGGGAGGTGAAGATACCGAAATCCCATAATTACTTTACCGTGGGGTGAAAACAAGGCTAGAGGGCAAATCATTTACATCATTTTTTTATATAATTTGAGCTCTAGCTGCCGCACAATAGATTCACCTGCCGCATCGGAAATTAAATGCTCCCATTCAGGGCAGCTGCGGTTTTTGATTTTCATTACCCGAACGTTAAAAACAGTAACCGACACAGACCGAAAAGTAGGAAGCACCTCGGCGTGGCACAGATTTCCAGCGGGCGCCGGCGGACCTTAAAAAAGAAGGCAGACGTCTTTGTCCGTCTCTCGGCAAACTGTCGCTATGCCTGCCTGCCAAAGGGATTGTTTGTGCACTTGTGAGTAAATATGTCTTCTTTAAATCCACCATGACACATGAGTTCTGTGTCTGGATTATAAAAATTGATGATGAGCTTTGGCCTCCACCCCCCCTAGCCCACCCCAAACCATAAAATGGCCCTTGTTTATATCCAGTGCCATACAGCCAGCAACACTTTTGTTTAATTACATAGCGGGAAAGGGACAGAGGAGCTATGAGCTTTCATTATTTCCCCACACATACTGTGAAATGGTTTTTAAGTGCAGAAAAAAAAGTGCAGTCGTGGGGGAGGGGGGGGGGGGGACATGAAATCTTAAGTGAGACAAGTGGAATGTTTTCAGGGAGCTTGAGATGATGGTTACATGCAGATGGTCAATGGACCAGGGGGTGGGGCAATGGAGAGGCGTTGCAATGGAGAGGTAACACTTTCGGGGATGCAGGCAGGAACGCTGTGAAGCTTGGAATGCGGGCCGGCGAGAAGAGGCACGGTTTCCGCGGAGCCTGAGCTGGCCCTGGCAGGGAATGCAGTGCGACAAACTGCGAGCTGCTGTGGGGGTGGAACCCTTCATGCAAACGCTGTGGTTTCCTCCGCAGCTGCTATGGGGCCAGAGGTTCCCGGTCACCAGGGGATGCTTCCATCCCATCATGAGCGATAATGCGGCACAGTGCCAGAGAATGGGGCTCCGGCAAACACACAGTAGAACATTCATGGTGAGGGGGGGCAGCATTTTTTTTTTTAAGTGAGTATCGGATAAGGGGGAGCGTTTTAAATGTGCCCTTCAAAGGCTGCCTCTGATCAAAAGCAATCAGTTTCTCCATCGAAGGGAGAGTCGCCGAAGTCTGAGAGCCGTCCATGTCCTGACCCTCAGAGGCGAGCGAGGCCAGACAACGTGAAGGAAGGACAAGCCTGTGAATTACTGCACACAAGCATCGAGAGATGATCTACTTATTTGTCAAATAATGGACATTGTCCTTCATAAATGGGCAACTGGCCATGCAGATTTAGTTCAAGGACAAGTGAAGGTCAATCAGAAATACCTGCTCAGTTGATTAGAACCTTAATTTGTTTTTGTTTACCTGAGCCACTTTGTCAGCGTAATAAATCGCTGGTTTACAGTTTCTGCTGTTGAGTGTTATCTAACAGTGAAGCCCTTTTGCCTGCTCCTTTCTGACGATATGTAACTTTGTTTCCTTTGTTATTAAAGTGAATGAAGTGAAATGAACGTTTTTAACGATTTCCGCATTCATAATTATATAGTTTTGTGTTGTGTGGTTGGGTCTGCAATTGCAAATTGTCTGCTGTGTTTGTGTGGACTTCTTGTTAGCTTTTGTTTTGTTTTGTTTACTGGTATAATAGGGACTTTGCATATTAGCAACATTCCAAGTTCAAGTTAGCCAAAGGGCTAGTTTTCATCTGTAGTCCCCACGTTCTTCTTTTGAGAGTAGTGTGCGTGTTAGTGTTCACCATGTTCAACCTTATGCAGCATGGGTCTCAGAATACACTCCAGATCTCTGCAAGCCTGACTGATTTTTTTTAATGGGTGGGCGGAGGGAGAGATGGATAGGCGCTTTGATACCGTAGACTTTTTAAATGACCTGCTATCTTCTGCTTCCTTTGTATTCCAGTCTGCTCCCAGTTCTCCAGAGGCGTTTATGCCATCTTCGGCTTCTACGACAAGAAGTCCATGAATACTCTGACCTCCTTCTGCGGTGCCCTGCACACCTCCTTCGTCACGCCGAGCTATCCCACCGACGCGGACGTGCAGTTCGTCATCCAGATGCGTCCCGCCCTGCGAGGTGCCATTCTCAGCATGCTGTCCCACTACAAGTGGGAGAAATTCGTCTACCTGTATGACACAGAGAGAGGTGAGTGACCAGCCTGATTGAGGCCCTCATAGCCGTCCAACGTACTGCCTGACACACTGACGACCACCTGTGCATCACAAAGCGAGTCACGGGCGTAGGATACAGTTTGATATTGGGGCAAGGACACAAATTAATTATTTAAATGCTATTTTTATGGGGGGGGGAGTCCAACAACAGCAATTAAATATTGGTAGGTTCATACGCCCCTGTGAAGCAATGAAGGAGACTTTAAGAAAGGAAAACAGGAAATATTTGGAGATCAATTGTGCTCAATAGAATATACAGTATGACAATCAACTGAGATAAATGGACAGAGGGAAGGGAATCAAATAATAAGGAACAGGGCAGCAGAGGCAGACAGTTTGTATTGCTTCATATTTTGTTTGTTATGCTGAATTATCTTCAGGATTAAATGCAAAAAAAAACTTAATTATCTAGTTAATGAGGCAGGAAAATGAAAAAATATCACCGCAGGTGTGATTGGTAATTTATAGTCAGTCACATCAGTCACATATAAAGTCAAATTTTGAAATCCTGATTAAAATATAGATTAGTACACATGTGGATATACATATATTATTTTGTGTATGGTATAAGGCAACTGCTTATCCTTTTATAATATTTTCTTGTCATATAGGATGTAAAATGTCTTTGAAGGCTTTTCCAGCTACTAGTGACACCAAAGTAGAGTCTGAAGTTCATTTTCTAGCAGGAATCTGGCAACCCGCTGACTGTCACAGCCCTTCTGGTCTAGCATTCTGTATAATCAAGTGTTAGCTGATATTATGAGAATCAAAAGGACTGAAACTCACACACAGCGTTGCTCTTCAGAGCCGCCCCTTGGTGTCTGTCGCCCTTATCTTCTCTAACGTGGCGCTTTCTCTGGGTCATAATATTAACAAAAAGGGTTACAGTTTTCAATCCTTCAAGAGTGTCAACACGTTTCAACTGCATTGTTATTCTTGTCTCTGTTTTACTGCTCTTATCTGGCCTTTGAAGGGGTACAGAGGTCATTTTCTCACCGGTCGACCAAACGGCACAATGATTCAGGGCCAAACCCTGCGGATCAATACAGACTCGCCACGTCTGTGTTACATGTCTTACGGGTCACTGTGCAAGCGCCAGAGCCTGTTCCGCATCCAGATTTTGCGTCTTCTCTATGTCATCCTCATCACCGTTGATTTCTCTGCATAGATTCCTCTTCGTGTAGTAACACTGTAGGGATACAGTCCTCAGCCTTTGCCACTGTAGGCTTTACTCCTCACAGAGAAACTCCCCTCCCATGTACACGTCATTCCTCTCAGTGCCCTTACCTGCACTCTGCTCTGTGAGGACGGCCGACTCTTCCACTCTTCCCCCGTCATGCCAAATGAGCCGAATGCACGCGTCAGGGTGCCCGGCCCCAGAGAGACCCTGTGCGACACGAGTGTTTAATCCTCAGCGGTTCTTGGAAAACGTCTGCAGCTAATTGGATTAGACAAAAGGGAGGAGGACGGCAGCTTGGCTTCCCGTGACATTCACGGCTGCGTGTCCTTCAGGCGGCTGGGGCACAGGCATGGGATCTGTCCAGCTCCTGACCAAGGAGAAGAGGGGGGGGCGGCCAGGGAGCCCGGGGTTTGTCCTGAATCATGTATAGCAGTGTTTCCCAATCCAGTGCTCAAAGACCTTCAGACAGTCCACATTTTTGCTCCCTACCAGGAGCTGGGAGGGAGCAAAAATGTGGACTGTCTGGCAGTGTGCTAGGAGGGAGCAAAAATGTGGACTGTCTGGCAGTGTGCTAGGAGGGAGCAAAAATGTGGATTGTCTGGGAGGGAGAAAAAATGTGGACCATCTATGGGTCTCAAAGGACCAGGTCAGGAAACACTGATGTACAGACTAGGCTGGCCTGGTGCAGAAGGCACCTGGTTTTTTTTTACCGTATGTTTTATAATAGAGCCATATTTTCCCCCAGCCACACCCTGGATGCTGGATGTCACATTAGCAAGAGCACCAGTCCCAGAAAAGAGTGGGACAAAAAGCAGTGGCGTCAAAAGCAGTGGCGGCTTTTCCTGGAAGGCTGACTTAATGTATGACAAAGCCCCAGCTTATCAGAAGCCTGAATCTGCCCACCCAGGATGTGCAGTCAGCAAGTCGGCAATAAACAGGAGGAAGGGAGGCATCGAGAGAGCACTGCTCGCTCCGCAAGTACCATCTCTGAAATAACAGCCTGTTTTATCCCCCCACCGACCAAGTGATCTATCAAACTGAGCACGAGTGCATAGTAATACTTCACAATAAGTGTGAATATCGCGTCCATGTTCTACGGTGCCCACCACACGGCACGCATTCGTGTTGGTGTGGGTGTGCTGTCATTACTTGGTCCGCAAAAAGCCACCTTCACGTTTTCGTTCTTTCGTAAATGCCGCTGCCGTTCAGCATCCTCTGGTGGATAAAAATAATGAAAGTGAGAGGCGGCGATGTCTGTGCTGCGTGGGATCAGGAAGCACGTGGCGTGCCGTGTCCGCGGCGCTGACCGGTGACTTCTGCGGCTGCTTACAGCTCTCTTTTTGTTTTCGGCCTCTTGTTTATGGCCCTGGTTGCTGTTTGGTTGGTCCATCCATCTTCCAAACTGCTTAAACTGCCAGGATGGCAGGAGGGGCCTGGATCCCATCACAGGCAGGGGAAGACCCTGGATGGAAGGCCAGTCCATCATAGGACACACACACACATACACCATCATACTCTGGCCAGTTTACAGATGCCAGTTCACTTAAGCCAGTGGTTCTCAATCCTGTTCCTGGTGCCCCCCCTGCCAGAATGTATTCATTCCAACCCTGCTTCAATCAGGCTTATGCGGTCCTTAATAAGCTCATAATGAATGTGGCAGGTTGGAAGCAGAGTGGGTTGGAATGAAAACATTCTGGCAGGAACAGGACTGAGAACTTCTGACCTAACCAATGTTGGACATTTCAGGGCCAGGAGATTTTGTTTCTGCCAACCAGTTGAGTTCTCTGTGGCTGTGACTTTATACTCAGTTGGTTGGCAGAAACAAAATCTCGGTCTGGATTTGTATCTTCTGGCCCTGAAATGGCCAATACCGCACGTAAGTGCATGTTTTTGGAGGAAACCGGAGCAGCCAGAGGAAATGTTCCCTTTATTTTGTTCACAACTGATCCTTGAGTTAGTGTCCTGACAGCATACTACAGGTTCTCCGAACAGCCATACTTATCCTGTTTCCATAACCATACCTGGCCTCGGAATCGTCGTCTCGATAAGCCAAAGCCTCATAACGCTGGACGCATCTGTCGGGGTTCTCCTGCCCCTGCCGGCGACTGCTGTTGCAGATTCCAGCGAAGCGCTCGGCTCTGGTTGAGATGAGAACGCCTTTGGGTCAGAAATAAATAGTACAGGGAGGGAAAGTGTGGTGTGTTCTGGGCATTACTTTAGAGTGACCCTAATATGGCATTACATGTTTAAATATAGCCAATTAATTTAGGTTGTGCTGAAGAGGTCAGATGCTCCACTACCAACCTGTAGGCAGTGTCACTGTTACTCGGTTAAATATCACAATCGTCATTTTAAAGATAAAACTAATTTTACAGACAAATGTTATGTTGATTATTCCACTGATCTAAAGCAAGAAACAACTATTTTGACTAAAGCACCCAAATCTTTTTAAATTACATTCTTTATTCCTTTATAGTTTAGAAAATGTATAATATCTAAACAAATCTTAAAGAATATCTATTATGATAATGGTTTTTTTGTGCTAACATTAGTATATTATCTTCCTGTGGTTTAATTTAGCTAATATATTTAGGAGAGGGGGAAAAAATCGCTTGCAAGCAGGGAAACTAATTGGTAACAATGGATTACATATCAGGCTTTCGATGGATGGTCTTCTATCTGCCAGGAATAACAACTACGCTCTTCATCTAACTTGGAGGAAAATAGGTTTTTATTCCATCACAAAAATGAATGTGACACTGGACCAGGGAGCATAATAGCTTTTTAGCAGTTTAAAAAATGGCCCAAATCACTATGAAATTGCTAGGGGCTTGGAGTTTTTGACCATATATTCTGGAGCTCTGCTGTGGCAAGTTGGTAAACAGCAGCCTGTCTTTTTGCGGGGGCCGTGTGATCGAGTGCTCGCCTGTTCCTTACTGGGGTGTGTGAGCTCTCCCATGAGTACTCTGCTTAACCAAGGCGTTCTGCGCATAGCGAGAGGTCAGCCATGCTCTAGGCTAATGTGACATCATTTATCCAGCCCTGCATGGTGCTTGGGGGGGGGCATTCAATGCCAAAGACATGGAAAACAACATGATTTGCTGGTTTCCTACAGTATAATTCTATTAAGGGCTGTGCAGTGATTTCATAAGGAGTGCTTTTACACCTACGCAGTGCCTTCACATCTCCGGGGCTGTCGGATCTCGCTGCGTACTCGCAGATCAGTCTTAATGTGGTCCAAATGCCCGAGACAGAATGTCGCATCCAAACATGATGCGTCCTGATCGGATTTTAAACGCAGGACATTTTTCAGACGCGTTTCATTAATGACCGGCACATGGCACTCTTGACTCTACCGGGGGAGGAGGGGGAGAGCAACAGTCGCCCCCAGCAACAGAACTCTGACCCTTCCAAAAAGTATTACCCAGGAACCGCATACTGGGAAAGTAAAGAAATGGGGAATAAAAGAGGGTAAGGGGGAGAAAAGCAGTTCCTTTAGGCCACAATTGTCCCATGCATTCCAGGCTAGCCGGAGACTGAGAGCTCGCCACTAATTATGAAGGCACTGGACACATCAAATGGAAGAATGTTTTGTTATTTTGTTCATTAAGGTTCTTTATACCTCGTCTGGTCTGCCTTTCATCTTCCTTTATAGAGCTTCTTTTCTTAGTTATAGCATGACTTTTTCTGCTGTCCAGATTGTTTTTTTTTTTTTTGTATATGTTCTTTTCCAGTCCACAAGGAAAAGGGGCTTACAGATCTTTGGGAGCATAAAACTTGTCAGATGTATGTGA